ACTTCTGATGAGAATTCTGAAAATGGAAGGTGGCATAAAATTGAAGTCGATATCGTTTAGGTTGAGTAAAATTAATTTTTTTGTCATAAAATACCGAAAATTAAATCTTTTTCACCCGATATTAAATTACCTGTTTTACCGGCTTACAGCGTCAACAACAACGACAACAAACAATTGCCAAGCGTTAATTTAAAGGATCAACATGGAAATTAGAGCAAAGTTAAACAAACATGAGAATTGCAGACCTAAACCTAAACACACACACACATATATATATATATAGTCAATGCGAAAGCTAGAAGAGTGATAATATCAAACCCATAATAATAATAACCTTGGACTTGGTCAACTATTGTCAAATATTGCAAAATGCTGCCAAAAAGCAAACAATTATTTAAGAACAACAACAGCAACAGCAATAAAATCCTAACGATTCGGTAATTTTAAGCGATTTCAATGAAAATTTATGACAATTTTCAGTTTATTTACTTAAGTCCATTATTCTTAAAAACAAACAAAAAATGAAAATGAAATTCCATATAACTCCACAGCGATTGGCAAGAGACGATTGTATGACGATTCCTTCAACTGTTGTTGTTCACATCCATGTGAATAACTATTGTTCAAGATGGTGTAATAAAATCTAACCGTTAAGTAAACAAACGAAATGCAAGCGAAAAGAACATTTGAAAGTATGCTAATAACGTCGCTTATGGGAAACGGATTAACAGCGTGTACAAGGTCTAAAATCCCTTTCCCTTTTACTAATTTGTCTATAGAATACGGTACATACATAAATACTGCGTACATAAATACTTTATTTGTTGACATTTTAACTAGATTTCTAGCTAAATAACCTTTAAAATAATTATGAGTAAACATTTAAATGTATATTTAAGTACTATATGTGTGGTTATATGTGTACCAACACTAACATGCCTTTGCTTGCAATGTTATACTTAAAGTTAAGTGCTAGTGTACGTACGTCTTTAGAGAACTTTGATAATTTCGAAACGCTTTACCTGTATTTGTGTCTGCTTGTCGTCGGTGCGGTTCAACACGATTGATGAGAGCTCGCAGCTATAGGTATGTGCTCGGTTGAAGAAAGCAAGTTACAATATGTCCCTATCTCTCTACACATTTCTCTTCTGACCCACACCTTATTGCACGGACAGAAGATATGCCCTGAGTGAGAGATTCATAGAAGAAAAAATATACATTGACAGAAACATTGAATTAAATAGCGTAAGTGAATAAATTTTCCCCCATTCCTAATGTTTTGCTAACGGTTTCCTCCTCCTTCTTCTGCCTATGATACTTGCTGACTTGCCTATCCCTAAAAGAAATATCTCCTAAGCAAAAAAAAAAAAAAAAAATTTTAATAATAATTGGAAAAGTGGGCCTTTCCAATCCAACCCAATGAAAATTTCACAGTATCTTTGTAAATATTCGGCAAATGATAACAGATAAGGATCAAAATGTGTGGATTCGTTCATTAATTTAAAATTTTATTTGAAAAGAGAGTTTTAACTTGTACATAGAGCTTACCATAAATAATTGTAGGCGTTTATTAAACAGTGATCCAGAGAGCTCCATAAGCTAGAAATGAGTTTCGTAGAATCGCTACTTGATTGGGATTAGAATCCACGAGTTTCCTTGCCACCTAATCGCAATGAGCCTGACAATCACAAAATCAGAGAGTAGACTTGTATTTTCGATAGAAAGGATCCAATCAAAGAAAAATTTTTAGGCAAGAATGCGTTAAGGAACTGTTTCTTACATCTAATAATAGTTTTACGACTAATCTCATCGCATCAGACTCTACAAATGTAACCCATTCTCCTCAATACGTACGAACAGCGCAGTTTTTTTCAATTACAATAAAAAACAAAAAATTCGCCAAAATGGCCGAGTGGGCAAAGGATCTCGACAAGCAACTCGAACAGTCGTAAGTACAAATCTCAAGTGCAATAGAGTGCCTATAAAACCGATAGCCTTAGATGCTAAGGCGTTTAAACTTTACTCTTTGAGTTTATATCTCTGGAATAAAAAACAAACAAAACAGTCTTAAGGCTTATCTTATCATTTCAGCTTCCATTAATAATAGTGCTTTGAAGCTTAAGCCCTTCTTTCATTCTGCTGCTTACTTTAAGTATGAAAAAGTGTAGAACCAAGGACATCAGCACACCAAGCGGACGAACAAAATAAAGTCTATTATCCCAACACTAATAATAATAGTACTCACGAACGTAATACTGACCCTGAAAAGCGAAATAATCTAATTGGTTGGACTAAACACTTCTCTCTTTGTAGAACACTGCCGTTTAGAACAGATCAAGAATAGGATATTAGAAATGCATTTATGACGAAAAATAACTGGCGTGAAGTTAACCCACTGTATATAGCCCACATTTTTATCTTTGCCAAAAGGTGGGCTATCTTCACACTTGGCTCGCTGAAAATGAGCGAAAAAGCTAAACAAAAATAGAAATACAACCACAAATGAAATAAGTTATACAGACAGATAGGTTATAAGAAATTAAATAAAAAAAATTTTTTTTTTTCTATTTATTATATAATGCATGTGTATTATTGGAGAAAAGTCACAAAATACAAAATGTGCATAAAAAAAATTAACAAATTTCGCCATGTGCAGACTTGTGACATCGTTAAAAGAAAGCTAAAACCTATCAGAAAGATCTAATATCACTACCCTGGTCCCTGTCCATCACCACGAAATTCGCTAAAAACTTTCGCGTAGCACGTTTATCCATGCACTTGCTTAACAAATTATATGCATGCTATTGAGTTGTCGCCGGGACCAGGGTAATGAATGGTATTAGGTTTTTCTGATAGCTTTTAGCATTTTTCACGACATATCAAAAACAAATCATTGGATAATGTCTCTGAAAATGGTTATAACATGATTTTGACATTGCATTCTTTGTAACATAATTTTGCATGAGATTTATTAGCAATAACTTAGCATTTTTTGTGTTCGTAGTTAGCGGCTTAGTATGCTTTTTATATGTGCACGTTTGCTGTTATGATTCAATTTTAATACATGTTTGTTGTTTATTTCGCAATAAATCATAACTTAGCAAAGACATTTTTAGCAAAGAAACGATCCATAATATGTGGATTATCTTGGTGATTTATCTTCACTCCAGTGAAGAATACGTGGTTCTGATACAATTTGCTATCATCTTTTTTCATTGCCCTGGACCATCGTTGATGCAATTGCAAAAATTTATATAGAATTAAATGTGCAATGTGTGTATATTCCGTTTAACGGATCAAGTTTTAAGATGGATGTACTTTATCCACGACCATGATTATCATAGTTAAACATTTAAAAAACACAAATCTACAATTTTGTTCTTCTTCCAAGCTTCGTGTCTAAGGCCAACATAATTTTCCTTTTCTCTCATTTCTGAAAATTTTAAATTCGAAAACCTAAAAATGCGAAATTATATATAACACATATTTTAATTATCTGAACGTTTTCAATCTGTAATGTAAATTTTCTCTTCATTTCGTTTAAGACAGAAGATAACCACTTGCTTTCTAATATACATAAGCTGAAATAACTAAAAAGAACTTGGCACAGCTATTATTTACAACTAAATATATACATAAATATATATAATATATATATATATATATATATATACAATATACCATATGAGGTTTCCTTTTCAAACGAAAGATAAACACATTTATTATGTGTCTTACGGTAACGACTGCTAAACTCATAAACCATGCTGAACACATAATATTAAACTGCCATAAAAGCCAAATAATGCGAGAAAAGCCAATGATGGGGTATATGGTTGGCTTAGATATATATTTTAAACCTTAGCATAAAACACTACGACGACCAACATGCGAAAGCTAATGAAAATAAAAACAAAAATGAAACAAAAGACTGCATGCAGAGCTACACTCCATTCTTTTCCCCATATATATATATATATATATATATGTATATACATGTACGTGCGAACGGGGGATAGTAGTTATATCATGCTGATGAACACAGATAAAATCCAATTATTAAACATTTTTTTTTTTTTTGTGTGCATAGTGTCTGCCATGTTTCTTGTTGTGCAGAAGAGAAATATACAATATACAATATGGCTCCTCGTGTGTGTATGTGTACTTATATCCTTATTACGCTATGAATATAAAATTTTTTTTATCTATTTTATATATACTTGCAAGGAATTTAAATTAGAATTTTTTTTTATTTCTCTTGTCTGAGTTAAATATATATATATATGTATAAGTTTGTACATCTATTTTCTGAGGTTATAATAACTCAATTATTTAGTTGCTTGCACAATTTACTACTTAGTTTTGTTGTTGCTTTTAGCGATTGCCTTAACATCGTAATCGCCATATTATTATCTGTGTTTAGTATCAGTAATTGTGTGAGAGAATAAAACAACTCATTCTGCTGCCTAAGCCATTGTACCCATTGAATTGTATGAAAAAGAGATAGAGCGCATAAATATTTCTCAAAATTTCCATCTTATTACGTACCTGCTTGTAGTGAGACAGAGTACACATTAGTAAATTATTGTGTTATAAGCAAGTGATTGTCGAGTCTATTTCACTCTCTCATTATACGGTGTCGCTCTCATTGCTTTTGACCATTTACACCAATCATATGCTAGTTAACGCTTAAATTGTTGTTGTTTCCAGCCATTGCTTTCAGTTTAACTATAATTTGTACACAATAAGCACGCCTTTATCTTTTTCTCTCTAAATTGCGTCTACGACGGGTATATAAGGTTTACAGGTTTGCAGAGATTATCACATTTAATAGTTGTACACCAAGCGAAGCATATGCTGGTATATATATTGAAAAAAAAGAAAAAAAAAAAGACAAAAACTACAACCGCATAGTGAATAAAGAGGAAATAAAAAAGCGATTTAAAATATTTATTCTAATAATAATAAAAAAAATAAAATATATATACAAATTATTGAAAATTATTTGAAAAGTGTCTCATCAAATCGAAATAAGTAAAATTCGCAAAAGACATTATGCAAGGCTATCATTCATATAACATTGAAAGTCGTCATTTACATCATAATGATGTCGCAGATCAAAAACCTTTAGTTGTGGATTTAATGTCAGCACAATATGGGAAACCTCAAACGCCGCCACCTTCTCCTAACGGTAAGTTGAATATATTTAATAAATATTAAACAAACAAATGATAGGCGAAGACAATTTAACATAACAAACATTAAAATAAATGAAAATGCAACAAATATATTAAGATTTTTCTAAATTTTATTTTCATTATTTTTAGAATGTATATCCAGCCCGGATAATACCACGAATGGTGGTAATCGCCAGAATTCGGAAATACCGGCAGATCCTTCAGTTCGTCGTTATCGAACTGCTTTCACACGCGATCAATTGGGTCGCTTAGAAAAGGAATTTTGCAAAGAAAGTTATGTCTCGCGACCGAGACGTTGCGAATTGGCCGCTCAATTGAATTTACCCGAATCCACTATTAAAGTTTGGTTTCAAAATCGCCGAATGAAACACAAACGTCAACAGATTGCAGTTGCTTGGCCTTATGCTGCCGTCTACTCGGATCCGGCATTCGCTGCTTCCATTTTACAGGCCGCCGCCAATAGTGTAGGCATGCCATACGCCCCATATCCGACAGCGTCCGCTAATCCAATGCTGGCATCGGCTATACCATCAATGCCTGTGCCGGGTCATTCACATATCTATGGACAATACCGCTACAATCCCTATCATATACCGCCACGTCCTGCGCCAAATGCTCATCATCATTTCGCACATGGTATGTCGCATCATATGACGGCTGCTGCTCCTATGGCTGCAGCAGCAGCTGCTGTTGCCTATCCAGCTATGTTGGGGGCTGTACCCGCGTATGTTACCAAAAATCAGACGCCTCCTTTAGATTTGCAATCGTCCTCATCTCCGCATTCGTCCACACTATCGTTAAGCCCCGTCGGCTCGGATCACACCAAAGTTTTCGATCGCAATCTCTCGCCCATACATTCAAGTAATGCAAACACATCGCTAACGGTACTAAACCATAGTAGTAGTAATCATCAAGACAATAATACATCTTCATCGTCGACATCCAGTAATTCAACGATAAATAATTTACGCAATAGCTCTTCGATCAATTGCCATTTAAACAGTTCCAGTTCGCCAATTAACAGCGCTGATCTGTTGATACCTGTCAAGCAAGGTTCCTCCGCATCGTCAATGTCGCCTTCACAAACTGCCATAAATCAGGAATTAAAGCCTAAGCTATTTAAACCCTACAAGACTGAGTTGTAAACAAGCGGAAGAAGAAATCGTAAAAGTAACGCTAACATCATCAAAAAGACACAGCGAACGAAATTCGTTAAGAATATTTCGAGTTTTTCTTTGCGATTGTCTAACGTTAAGCGCTATCCAACTTAAAATAACTAATTTATACTGTGTTAAGTGAATATGTGTGTTTCCACAAATAGCGCTTTAAATGGTTTGAAACCATAATATGATATAGAAATTGTACGGTTAAACCAACAATTTCGCGACTCTTTTTTTCTGCTCTAGTTAGCTCGACTAAAAGAAATGCTTATCTCGAAAGACAAAAAGAGAAAAAAAAAAAAACAAAAATACAAAAACTATGAAGGCAAGTCATCGTCTCGCTAACATAAGCTTTCTTAGAAAACCAGTTTTCAAGGAAGTTTCGTTGCGTGGTGCTAAGGAAGAGAAAAAAAAAAACAAAACTTAAAAAATGATGTACAAATTAGACAAATTCCTTAAGTTGTTAATGTTGAAAGAGAAAATTGTAAAAATTTCAATCAAGTTTGTAAAAACAATTAATTTAACCTTAAACTTTTCCCTTTTCTTCTTTTTTTTTTTGATAGTAAGAATTTGAGCCATGGAGCCTAAGCAAACTGATTTTGAAAAAATTTTCAACAAGAAACTAATATTTATTCACTGTGGACAAGTAAAATTCATTAAGTACTTAAAGCATTTTACCCAGTGACCAATTTTCAGCTTAATATTTACGAGAACCAGTCTGTCTGTTAACAAAATGTCTGAAAAATTGTCATAAGATATCTTTAACGGTGGCATGTTTGCTTACTGCTTTTCAAGGACAAGAAACTAAGCTCGTTGATCTACTTTCACGACGCAATAATATAAACGAGTGGTACTATAAAAGTTAATTTAAGCCGATACATATTAGTGTTATTCTCTCTTTGATTTTTAAATTGTAAATATTGCAAAAAAAAAACAAAAAAACAAAATTGTACATAATTGTAAAGTAGAAAGTTTTTGTTAATAGATTAATAAATGTAAAGATAAAGAAATACTATAAACTATATGAGTAATTACTTCCTGGAAAAAAGGTAAATTTTTCGCAAATTTTATAATCACTTTTTTTTTCCCCTCTCCATTAGATAGGAGAAATCCCAATAATTTTATTGTCGTCCGGTAGATAATTACCTTAACCTGAAGTCAATAGTATTTCGAAAAACAATTTTAAACATTTTTCCGTCTCATTATTATTATTATTATTGTTATTGAGTTAGTTATTCGAACTCAACTTTACTTACTTATGATGCCTTTCATGATTTTGCTAATAATAAACGACGGGAAAAACTCAGGTGCAATAATTTTGCAAAATAAATGCTTCAATCGTAAACCAAGAGTTTAAATTTTTCTAGCGAAAAATTTTCCAAATGCAAATACTTAACAAATAATCGTACGAGGTGAGACTTTTAAGAGTGAAAGGTGCTCTAGAAGAATAACTTAATAAAAATTTATTGCTCGAATAATAAGGAATTGGGAAAATAATTGAATTTCTGCGTATCTTTAATGATTTTATTAACAATCAAGTTGAAAAAGAACTTTATAGACAGGTAAAGTCTGCCTTTATTATAACGTGAGCCGCTATAAACACAAATGTAATTATACGACTGCCTAACGTTTCAACTTAAAACAAGTAAAAACTCTATAGTGTTTAGGATAGGAGATACACAATTAAATACCCTACCCCACTCTATAGTTATTCATATAACGATCATTGAAAATAATGCTTAATATGGGAAGTAGTCGAAAAAGTTTTTCATTCGCCCTTGGGCCAAAACACGTCGGCGTACAAAATTTATTCAACACATTTTAAAAATTTCAGACTGATCGATTGAGCTAAAGAACACAAAAGAGGCGTACAAGCAGACAAGCTTAAATCGATTTAGAAGGGAATCGTCAATCGATCGGTATAATAAAAGATAAATCTATCTCAGGTTCTTCTGGTTGTTACCTACGATCGCACAAACTTAATATTGTATCCCCTTGTACCACAAGGTGGTATGGGCTAAAAAAAAATTCCCAATTACTCAAGATCGGTAATTAAATACCTTACAAATGCATATAATTTCGTCGTTTTCATTACAGATAGTACAAATAACATATCGTCGCCACATAAGGCTGGAGTTCGTTTTTATGAGAACATTTATATGGATAGGTCACTATTATGGAAAGCACAGTAATGATCTATAAATGTATAATTAGTAATTTATATTTTATTTCTTGAGCAATTTCCCCATAGTACCTGACATTAGTCTTGGGTTTTTTTTTTCATATTACATTCAAAAAGAAACTTGACGCGTTAATTTTTTCCAAAACTTTAGGTATAAACAACCGATAAAACTAATGCTTGTACGGCGTAGGTTTCAATTGTTTACAAGTATGGATATGGATTGTTGCTTTGGGTCAACTCATGCCTTTCTTCTTTAAGGTGATTTCCTATAGAATCCATATTTCATTCCCCGAAATAATTTCATGAAAATAATCTTCTCCCTTATAGTGAGTTGAAAAATATAAGCGGTTGACAATTGTACGATTTTTGCGCTGTTCAGTGTGCTTTCGTTTCTCATTCTTCCATATCTCTCCCATTGCATGCAATCGATCTGCAACTCCCTGTTGACTAATTCCTAACTACACAGCAGGCTTTTTTTGAGGTTTTACTGGACTTTAGCTTAAGAAACTTTCAATTTCTTCCTTTGGTGCCTCTCGCAAAGCTGCAGATATTTTGTGAACGTTTTTCGTACGTTCAAGGCTAATATGTTCTATAAGAAAGCTCGTTAACACCTTTCTGACTGTTCATAACTTACCGCATTTCCATCCCAAATCAATTTAATCACTACCGCTTGATTTGAGTGGCATTTTTTCCGCCTTGCAACAGAATAAAATAAAATGACGCAAATGCTCCTTATTGACATCCACCTGCAATTTGTAAACTAATGATCTTTTTGGCTTAGTTCATCTTACCTCAACATCACAAAAAAAAAAAAAAATAATGATCGAAACCTAATGAAATTTTGACACATTTTTATCAACAGTATTTGAATATGCGTTTCAAACCGGAGACTTATTGAGTGATGCGCTAAATGGCATTATCTGGAGAAATATTGAAACACAGGCTATTTATTTTACTTTCTTGCAATATTTACAAAAAACTTTATAAAAAAATTGGTCCAATTCAATCGATAACCACATATTTAATATTTTGTGAAGGCATAGCTTTCACCTTTTGTTGACTCTTCGAAAGTGATGTACGTCCATTTGAAATCATCAAGAGTAATTTTTTTTTTTTTTAGTTAATAAGGAATCACGAAGCTCATTGGCCGATAGAAACCATACGTAGGGCCGTGTATAGAGAGAGACCCCGGGCATAAGACCAGACCGTTCGGTAATGAAGTTTCGTTTAAACGTTTGTCCTTACAAGCGTCTTAGTACGTATACTTCTTAAATGTAATCGTCTGTGGAGTGTCCGAGTGAGATAAAAATTGCAACCCCTCCATTACGTTCGAAATAACTTAATGACACGTGCGTTCATTTGCTTACAACTTTCGACCTTTTTAACACATATATATATATATAGTTTCTTATTACACAACACGAGACAAGAGACCTGCAGGGACTTTCAATCGTAGACATATTGTATTATGTAATCTAATATTTAAAAATGACCGCATTACATATAACAATTTAAGGATAAATTAGGAACAAAGTAAGTTGACCTTGACGTATGTATTTCAATGATGATAAATCTAACTGATCGATCAGATGTATTGCGATCAGCTCACAAAGATATGCTAAAAGAGCAACGGACTTCAACTTCGACGATCTACAAACCCGGCATTAATTTAAAGTTTAAAATTGGTATTTACCAAACCCATTCTCTCTTGTGGATCGTGATAAAAAAAAAAAAATTTCTTAAAATTATTGAAATATATTGTGCTTTTCTTCTGTATTTTTTTTCTGTGTGCATTGTGTGAGTCCCTTCAATGACACGCCATTGCAATTGTGTGCGATTGCCTTATTCATTATGTGGCTGGCTATACATTCGAAGACGAAAGTTACAGCATTATCGCACTTTTCTATCAGATAACACATGAAATTTTTAACCCTAATGTGATTCTATTTAACAATTTCTCTCAGTTTAATTCTTTACGAAATCCGTTGCTTGCTAAGTAATGCAAGCAGCATAACAACCTTCTAAACTTATCCATGCTGATGATGCTTCATTTTGCAGCCAATACAAGCCAAAATTTAACGCCTATAAATTTTTGGTATATCTCTTCGCAATCACGATTGTAACCCTTTCTTTTCATGAACGCAATAAAATGATTACAAAGTTTATCTTGGCACATGTCCTGCTTGTTGCAATTACATAAAAATTAGCCTTTGTCTCGACATCACATGCATGTAACATATACATGTTCGCTTGAAAAAACATACGAACAACAATCATAACAAAAAAAAAAAAAAAATCATTCAATTTTTTACGGATTATCATTTCATTATGATGACATTAGAGATATTAACAAAAAAAAAAAAAAGTAACTGAAAAAAGGTTATATTCGGCTTAAGACGACAGTTTGACACTCATCTCCGTAAACTAAGCCATAACAAGTAAAATTATTTCGTTTATTGCTTACTTATCAATGGATTGGTAAAGGTCTCTTCTAGGCTGTATGAAAATAGCTTTAGACAGCATTTGCAACACAATTTAGATTCTAACGTCTTCCACTGATCTATTGAAAGTATTTTTACCTACGAATTCCATTCATTTATACCACAAACGCTTACAAGGCGAGATCACACAGACTAAGCTAAAAGGGGAACTTGGCATATATTTGGAAAACATTTTCTTTTTTCATTCACAATATAGGCGTTGAGGCCTTCCTCTCACAAAGGCTTCGATAAATCGTCTCAAACTCCTGTTGATATACTTTATGCAATCTATGATCAATGTCTCTGTCTGTTACAAACGACAA